TTATTATTATTGATATTATTTATTTTCTTACTTTCATATAATTTCTGATCAGCTGTTTTTTGAACAACTGACGAGCTTGAAGTAAATATATGCATTACAAATTCACATGAGTATGACAACAAATGGTTTTGTCTCGCACAAACGAAAAGTATATGCTGATAACATTATACAAACTCAACTCACTCGTTTGGATTCTTCTCAATATCATTCTTGTCAGCATCATTGTTATCTAAATTGTCACTCACGTTTTCTTTCAATTGTGACGGATCACTGGATAGCTCCTTGATTTCATGTATTTCCTTTTCCTCGGCATTATGAACGACGAACGTGCTTAAAGATGCGTATACGTTACAAATTTACATTAAAATCGTGATACAAATCTCGAGTTCCGAGAAACGATATTCATAGTATGTGCTGAAAAAATCACATTAACTTACCCGTTTACATCATTCTTAATATCATTATTTTCAGCATCCACGCTTGAAGTGATAACTTGTTTATCGGTTCGTTTCTTTTTACGGATAACACACCAGCAGCAACAACATATGAAAACAATAAAGGATATTCCCGCTATTGCCAAGATGGCCATTGTAGCATTGCCTTCAGACTCATTAATCCACCAGTTGTAGGTATTATGCGTATTGATAATCTCGTATGATGTTTTCACGCCTAATACAGGGAAGTTGTCGAAATCCGTTCCGGTTAAGAGCGCCACTGGTGTGCCATCCGAGTCCATTTGCATTGCTTCCGCAAGGTCCGCAAAGTATACAAACTCCTTTGCTGTGTCAACATTGTCCTTAGAATCAGTAAGATCATTCTTCAACGCGTATATCTCTACAATTGCCGTGCTGAAAAGAAAACACAGTGAAGGACAATTTTTATACAATATATTAATTCAATGTTCACATTTTCGAGATCATTGGCACACAGTTGTAAGACTACCGGTACTTCAGACTTTTCTACACTGACTTTCACATTCAATTGTAGTCGCATGCAGTGATTTTTAGGAAAATTGATATTCAAAAACAGTTATATATCTTCATATTGACAATAGACCCTATTCTCGTATGGCCGCCGCGGTCTCACTGAGAGCAAGGAAAACCACGCGAGATTTCTCTGCAGTCTTCGTGTTAACTGTTCTATATAATCATAGTATTCGGAACAGTGGACACGATGGCGGCAGAAAATCTATTAATATATATATATATATAATATAATATATTATTTATTTAGTATTTGGTGGCGTGACTCTGATCCTCGCTCTCGGCGGATGATTGCAAATAAGGTACATAGTAGCTGATACTAGAGTGCTACTCACCTTTGAAGGAGTTTTCGAGTAGTCACCGTGGCATCACTGCGAACTGAAGATATTCTGAAGCTCCATGGTTTGAAACGTTGATCCAACGCAGAAATAAATGCAGCTTGTTTGGATGTCGTGAAATCGGCAACTGAAATACCCAGATGTATGTCCAAAAGAACGAACTGTGGTATGTAGGTGTCAATACGAATCGTGGAAACACTGTGGATATTATAAAGATAGAAATGTAAATGCAATATAGAAGCATTTGTGATATAATATATCCTTTACGCCATACTTGAATCAGATTCCTGCACAATATCCTGATACACACCTCGGTATCTGAGATAAATTACCATAAAGAAGAATAATTATTCGTGAACTAGCAATTAACAACGACGACGGTATTAGACGGTGTCAAATTAGACACCAGCTTAATAAAAATGAACATGTGTGCTTGCCATGCGATACAAACGGCATGGTGATTCATGGTATACTGTATCTGTAAGAACCATTATGAGAGACGTATACATTAGTTAGCGATTATCCATAAATCTCTCGATGACAACAGCATTGTGTAAAATTGAACATGTTCAACACACTTCGAGAAGTCTTTGAAAATCAACTGCTCAAACTCAACCCAAATCTCTGACTAGAAGTGTTAGAGCAACGTCCTAACAGAGTTTGTGGTATTTTCAGAACTCTGAAATCTAACAAACAACTTCTAGTACAAGATAAAATTGTAAAAACAATTGTCGTGAAGTGGAATAATATTAATTAAAGAAACATTACGAATATGCAGCACAGGATTCGAATACACGAACCGCAAAACAGTGACTGTCATACAAAGCCCCACAGAAAACAATGTTTTGTAAAATATAGAAACACGCTTGGGAGTAATAATTTATAGTACCCAATTCAATGCTCATTATTTCGAGATCCCTATACCAACATCGGTCATATTTTGAGTTTGAAGGCGTAACCCCAATCTCCGACACTTTTATAGATCAGCGACTGTCACAATTATTAGCTATTGGTAATTAACAATAATTCAACGTTCAACAAACGTTAAAATCAGGTATGACATAATATTAAAATTTTATTGGACTTTTACATATTAAAATTTGATAATTTTTTGAGTGTGATTTTACTGCTACTACTCTACTATTAACATAATTTGTTTGACGATATAAAAAGAGTACACCCACCCTGACTTAATTGATGGCACACTATTATCTTCCGCATAGTACATAATTATGTATTTTTCTTCTGCCTTCAGTTTACCTGATGTGAAGATTTGACCATCTGTCGTCATGTTAAATAGTGTGTGTGGCAAATACAGCTTATAGGTGATCGAACCACTTTTTTCTGAAACATAAATTATAATGAAAATCATGTATGGGTGTGGTATGATCACATGGTACGAATGTCTATCGCAATGGACAACCAAGAAATGGGTGGATGGATGATGTGATGTCAGTTTAGGAAAATATAACCTACCAAAAATCTGATCAGTTGTTATGACGTTGTTAACGTGGTTATCTACGACCATATCTAAGGCACCTCCCAATTCCAATAAGGACGTTCGTTGCTATTAATAGTCACAAAAATAGCGTCGACTTCATTGATGGTAACCTGAACAAAAGCTGTGTCTTGATTCGACCCCAGATCGGTAGCAACCAGTGTAAAGTTAATGACATCCCCACTGATTGATGAGTTAATGGGTTGGTTTACAGTCACCTCACCGACATGGGCGTCAATAACAAAATATGCATTTGCTGGCTGTATGGTGTACGTAACGATGTCAAACAGATCTACATCCGTTGCCAGAACCTGTAGTACAGGACTTCCCTGTGATTCCCTATCAAACACATTTGCAGAGTATACTGCCTGGGTGAACATTGGTGAATTGTCATAAATATTCTGAAGGAAGACATTAACTCGTAAATAATCTTGCATTCCTTTTGGGTCGGTGACAGTAAACATTACTGAAAATGGGATTGGAAACGAGGCTTCATAATCCATAGTTTGTGCAATGCGTAATTCTGGGTTGAGTCCACCTGATAAGCTGAAGTAGGGAGAATAGGTTCCAATAACCATATTGAAAACTAAGTCAGTTAACGCATCGTCCACGTCGGTGGCTGCCCAGTTCAGAGGTATTAATGTTCCAACAACCTGAAGAAATATAATGTATAAATTAGTATTATATATGTTGAATGGCTTCATGACAAGTATAAATGACAAAAACCAATGTAAACTCGGGATGTGTATATAAATACTCAGAGGCGATGGCACGGAAATTTGCATAGGAGGTGAGATCTGAAATCTTGACCTTCTGAAACGCTATTTCCTGCAATTGGAGGGCCAAATTTTGCTGACACAAAGAGCTTCAGCTTGATTTGGGGCGACGCCACTCCAAATACCTGTTCTTCGTCAATATATACATCCTGGTTATCATTCATAAATACTGGTGGTTCTGCTATATCCACAATATCAACAGTCAGGGTACCCGTTGCAGTGAATTCCCCATCAGTGGCTTCCAATACGAGAGTATATTGATTCACATCCTCAAAGTTGAACACAGGATTATTGGATATAAATACGGTACCATCATTCCCATCTGTTTGTAGAAAAAACATTCAACGTGACGTAATCCATGTCATCAGAGCGAAAGTATTCATTGTGATATATTGGGAAAAATAAATACAGGTTTGGGTGAAAATCTATCGTTTGATAATTACGTCATAGAATGCAACCTGATTACGATTTGTTTCAAAGTATGGGATTTTTGTTCAATTAGTACCCTTATAACAATGAAATACCCCGTGCCTTTAAACTGGCAATGATACGCACTATCCTGCTAGTATAAAGAGGCAACTCAAATCAAATGCTTTATCTCAAGCACTTTCAACACAAGAACGTGCAGCTACAAATACATTTGGCAACTTACGTACAAACTTTCCCCACCATCGCTTTGCCCGACCTAAATTTTCCCTTTGTGTATTGCCATATACAATTATCGCTTACTTGAGTCTGCTACAGAGAACTTCCCCTGACCGGAGGCAGGTGTTACTGTTGTTAGAGTAAAATTTAGAGCATTGCCGTCCACATCAATACCATCAGCTTCGAATATAGATACCGAATGTATGACGTCTTCGGGTACTTTTACCGTTGCTGGTAGGTTAGATATTATCAGTGCTTCATTCTCGTCAGTGATTTGAACAGTTAGTACTTTAGGTGTGCCAGTCATGGAGTTTGCAGGGCCTATATCCCGACACGTTACGCTTAGGGTATATTCATCTACTGTTTCGAAGTCCAGATAAGGTGAGTTGATCATGTAGATGGCATTAGCTGTGTTTAAACACGGAATAGTTGTTAACAATTGTTTAAAAGAAGCACTGACATCCCTCTCCGTATAGTCGTATAAGGATTTGAAAAAAGTACAAGGAACATAGAACAAATTGTTAAGTATAATTGTATAAGTATAACCAATTGCTATAGAGACACTTAATGTTGCGATAAGACGTTCTGTTAAACCTTGACTAAACAGCTTGGACGACTGGAGTCGCAAAGCTCAGAATCGTATACACAATACGCAGGAGCCAAAGAGTTACTGCTACAATGATGGGGAACTTATTAGCTAAGGCTAACATGGTTCACGTAAATACATAAAATTGTTATCTAACCATGGGGGCCTTTCAAGTACTGTGGTCACCGTAGACTGAAAATTAGTGATTTTGAGTTCTTGCTTGGTTTTCCCCGCTAAACAATACAAGAAAATAACTCAGTCTTGCACACAATCCGATATTGCACTATCTAATCTATGTATTCACTCGATTGCAGCCTATCCATACATATGCATGTGAAATATTTCGTTTACGCTTTGCATAAATGTTATATGGAATAAAAGAAGAGTCCTGGAACATTACGACCAATTTTGTAAAAAAAATTACGAATTTCGAATATGGGAATTACATCACATTGTTTGACACTTTTAATATTTTTCATTTGCACATGCAAAGGATACAAGTAATGTAAATTAACAAACAAATTATGATTAATAAATTTATAAAGTTATATACTCACTTGAGGAGTTAAACCCAAAATTACCATCGTTCGGATTAGAAAACATGACACAGAAAAAGTCATCTCCTTCATTATCCGCAGCTTGCACAGCAAAGATATCCATTCCTCCTGCACTCATTTCACTAATCTGTACAGTATCGTCGAGATTGGTGATTTCGGGACCCACGTTAGACAACAACGTGATATGTAAAATTTTATTATCTGTAAAACCGTTTTGATCACCAATGAAAACTGTTACATCCCAAGTAGTTTGTTCTTGGTAGTTCAATCCAGGAGGGAGCACATAAATCGACCCTGGTAGGAGAAGGAAGATTGAAGTATGTCTTTATTTTTATTTGTGAATGCATATATTACATACACAACATACTTAAGTGTACATATTACATAAGTACTTTTAATCGGGTGTAAAATCAAAATCCAATCTCAATTAGTATTTTGCTTCATCGATATAAATTTTAGGGGAACACAGGAAGCAAATTTTCAAACATTGATATTAATATTTGAACTACACTGACATCACACACAAACACAGCGAAGTTATACTTCATGCACTCATGCGTTTCGGTCTATACTCGTCTTCGTACATACTTTTTGGTATCCTCGTAATAACATCATATTGTATGTGTACCTGATGCGTTGATACTAAATGATCCATTGGCCGGTGAGGTAGATATCATCCATATCGGCTCGTCAGGTGGATCCCACTCAACTAAAAATACACTTCCAATTAAAGATTCCGATATCGCGATCGAGTCTGGTAAATTAGTTATTACCATTGGTTCCGGTTCGTCTAAAATGTAGACAGTCAATGTAGCCGTCCCCTTTGCTCCTGATGAGTCAGCAGCTTCAATGAATAGCTCGTAAATGGTTGTTCCTGTTTCGTAGTCAAAGCCTGGTAAGTTCACATTCTGAATTTCTGCAAATGGTAGGTAAGGAAACTTGTGGGTAAGATAAATTGTGCGCCATTACACGATTGATTGAATTTTTATCGTGTTAATATCATTGATTTGCGATCAAGGCTATCACTACGCAATATCTATGATGTCATCATAGTATGGGTATAATAAAATACACTTTCGCCATCTTGAAATGACTGGTTGATGCTTATTTTGTGACAATTAACGCATAATCTACCAAACGAGTTCATTATCTGACTTATCCACTTGTTTTGTGTGTTTTTTCGGAAATTCTCTTGCAGCCTATTTGCATTCGTGTATCTCCCTTCGAGCAGTGTCTGTCTGTTGTCAATCCAATCTGATTTTTATTATTTTGTAACTGTTTTTTTTTATTATTATTATTATTATTACTACATATATCATCTTTGTAATTAAGCAATCATAATTTATAGCGTGCCTGGTGATGTCATCGGTCACAAAAAAGTCACAAAAACACTCAAATACAGTGGCAAAATCTACCGATGTTAACGATGAAAACGATACGGAAAAACGCGGCTTTTCGGTAAGTTTATCGATGTTAAATGCAACGAACATCTATCTATGATTATTATAATTATATTGCAATATTTCTTCGTATTTTGAACACAATTGGCTGGCGATGATGTAATAGGAAGTGAGCACATTTGCTGGAAATAGAACAACATTGTCAAAAATTGTCTTGCCAAATAATACTGGTAGTTTCAAACAAAACTTTTAGAATACTTCAAATAAAGTTCGCAATGGTTGTACTCAAAAGAAATGAATTTAAAATTTGCAGTTATACTATCACTTTTGTGTTCTATCGATAAGCATTACGTCATTCGTAACAATGTCATTTTTTCTAAATATTTTCACAGGCCTAAGGCTTCGGCAGCAATCGACGGCATAATTAGATCGCCGGAGCAAAGACGATTTAGAAGGTTCGTGCTTGTCCGCGTCTGCTTTGGGCAACTTACAAAGACATATAATCAAAAACACAATAATTAATTCACCATAAATTGTCCGCTGCAAAAGTGAATAACGCTAACTAAGGTAGCTGTAGCCCATATGGTAATTCTCCAGCTTGTCCTTTGCACAAACATGTGCAAATTGACGACAGTACAGGAATTTTAGCCTTCAAAGGCAATTGAAAAAAATTAACGGAGTATCTAACCAACTTTTCATAGTATTCCTCCTCGCCAACTTTTGATTGAGGTGATTGTCTTCAAAAATAAACCCGCACCACGCATTTTTTTTTTCTCGTACCTTTTGTGTTAATTATTTCCTGCAATATAAAGGCGAGATGTGATTGGCTGTAGCTTAAACGAGATTTAAACATTTATGGACATCGGGTCACATCCTTCTGAGATATCGCGATTTTGGTAAATTTAAATAAAATAAAGTAAAAGAAACTGTATGATAAAGATAAATGAATAAAAACATATCGAAAAAAAACATATGAAAAAAAAAATAAAGCCCAAACTAGGATTCTATTTTAATCAAATTGATTGCCAATCGGGGTCAAATCCTAGGATGTTGGTTATGGCCTTATTATTGAATATTACGTTGATTAATGTAAATGAAATACTACTGTCCAATCTAGTGATTGTTTTTAACGCCACTGCCGGGTCTTATTGCCGTCATACATTCGGTCATAGCGATGTATGTTTTGAATTGATTCTCTGAAAATATTACAATTCATTTGATTTCTGAATGAATGTTGATATCATTACCACGTCCCAGTTCATCTTGGGGAAATAGATTCTATTGCTAGAAAGTGTAGTTTGTTGTATGAGAATTGTATGATTCTTGTGTGTCGCAACAGTGAATCACGGAATATAATCCACTCAAAATCATAGATTCTGATTAGTCGATAGGTCTAGCTGTATTATAAATAAGTACAAGTTACCAAAGAAATCATTGGTAGCCTGATCCAGTGTGTCACATACTCAACAGGGAGAGTTATCCAACTCACATATAAGAACTGCATGTATGTTGAGTCATATATGGTCTGTGAGTATTTAGTTATATAAATTGTTTTCAGCTATATAAGATGTGTTTCGAGTTTGAAACCGACATTAAGGTAGTACATACAATCATGCGAGACATTCGTTTAATTTAAATATTGATTTTCCTCCATTCAAATGCCAACATGGAATATTTGCATAAATACTAACCTGCAACAGATGTGTTCCCATCAACTGTTACTGGACCGATTTGAAATGGATTTGAACCGACAATATTGAAATTGACGTCATTTGCTGTTCCGTCAGCATCCGTAGCTGTTATGGTGGCAATTGTCTGAGGCACTGTTGCATGTTCTCCTATGGTTGCATTATGCGGAGCGTCAATATATATTGGGAGCTCTACTCGCAGAGTCACAGTGCAGGTGAATGTGTCATCTCTACGCTGTTCTTCTACCACAATATCAATGATGTATTCACGAATGATGTCAAACCCGGGCGGGACCACAGCCAGAAGTCGAGCCTCATTACTCCATGAAGGAGAAAAACCTTTGATAACGTGTAATAAAAATGATGAAATTAAAAAAAAAATTATTAAATATTATTAAAAATAATTATTTGAAATACAATATACAACTTATAACAATTATCTTACCCTGTGCAAGCTCGAAAGGATATGGGTTTGGAGAGAGATCTGGGACGACAGTACCAATGCTATACCAATATTCTGAAAAAAATCCTCCCCCTGCACCATCGATTGGGCTATATATCATATCACCATCAGCGATTCCCTGAGGAATTTCAATCGTCAGTGATGATCCCATGTTTCTTAAGTATAGTGCTGAAAAAGGAAGGCAGGTAAGAGTAATTTGTTGCAGACAGGGTTTTCTTTAGACATTGAGTGGAATGCGTTCAATCTAAAGAGGGAATCTGAAGATGATTGGAAACTCTTTCATTTGTTATTAGGGACTTCCACACTCACCCGGGCCTTTTATGAATGGCTTCACCTATCTAATTTGTTGAAATATTCTCTTTGCATTTTTTCCTGATACTTGAAGCTTGCGTCATTGCACATTTGTTGTTAACAAACAAAGATTATAGTTTAAACAAGTATTATATTATATAATGTTACATTGTATTAAATTGTATTATATTATTATAGACATAATGACTCTGACCAAGGTCGAT